AGAGATGCAAAAATGGATAGTAATAACTAATAATTGGTAAACCAGAACCAGAGGTTTTTAATCGTGCGGAAGAGAGGTGGAACAGCCACGTGACGTTGGACTTTTTTGGAACAGCTTCTACTGGCGACGCCTCTCTTCCTGGTGCTTCCACACGTGGTTGTGGACCTACTTTTCTTTTCTTTTTTTTTTTTTTTTTAATAAAAAAAATAAAACAAATAATCACACATTTACCCTTTCTACTTAAAATAAATCTACCTTCTCACAATCTGGAAACAATTCCACCTTTGCCCTCTATTTGCTCAAAAAGTCCATTAACCAGATTATTAAGTTGGTAACCTGTTGGACAAGGTTACTTGTCACGTGTTTTCTTATAATTGGTTTTATTTTTTGAAAAAAAGAAAGAAAAAAAAACCCACCAAAATAGCAGTCAGCAGCTGCCCCCTTTCTAGCCGGAGCAACCCTCCTCCCTTGCTAGAGCAACCCCCTTCCTCGTCATCCATCGAACATCAGTCCTCAAATGTTAGGTATTAGTGGGTGGGGATATTTGTCGCCGGAATTATTGGGCTGCAATTTTGGTGTGGTTTTGGTTGGCTGTGACGGTGGAGTGGCAGGGGGTTTGCTTCAATTTTAAGGTTGGGCTTTTTTTTTCTTTTAATCATATTTGTTTTTTTTAATAAGTAAAAAAATAATAGACTAATTAAAAGCTGACACGTGGCATATAACTTACAAAAATCGATCACCTACACGTAATAGATCTTTAGATGGAGATAGGGGGTAAAGGTTGGATTTTTATGGAATAATCAAAAGGTTGGATTTTTAAGAGAAGAATAGTGAAAGGTTGGATTTTTTTTTTTTAAGGGAAATTGAATGTTTATTTCCTTAATATTAATAAAATAGAAAATTTTGGTTTTTTAAAGAAAAAATTGTGAAAAATAAATACAAAATGGTTACTTAGTTAAATACTTATCTCCGTTTTTTTAGTGGACACGTATTCCTTTTTAGGAAGTTTTTTTTTAGTTGACACGTTTCCTTTTTGGGTAAGTTTTATACCTTGTATTTACTAGCTACCCCACTTGCTTTATCATTCTTTCTCACTCTCTCTCCTCTCCTTAATATGTGTGCCTAAATCGAATGCGTCAACTAAACAGAAACGTAGGAAGTAATATAGGGGTAATTCGTGTGTGTTGTAGGGATACTTAGTTATTAAGGATTACTCAAAAAGTATAATAAGGAGTTACTTGTCAATATATCAGCAGTTATTCTGTCAATTTTATATTGGCTACTTCGTAATTTTTACAAGAAGCTACATGATGTGACCAACCACACAGAAAACGCATTGTAACAAAATTTGTTTATAACTTTATCAAGTACGTAGTAGTAAAATGGTAAATAATAATAATAATAATAATAATAATAATAATAATAATAATAATAATAATAATAATAATAATAATTGTGCTGGAATTGTGGGTATTATCATCTGCATAATATTGTTCAAGATACCTTTGTTGATGTTTACTAAAGGTCTGGGATTTCAGCGAGAAAGGAGGTTGACATTGGGTTGTCTGGAGGGAACGACGGGGCCCTTAGACCTACAGATGTGTTACTTTATTCCTGGGATCGTGGTCGTGATGTCTATGTTGATTTGACGGGGTCTTCTCCTTTGACACAATCTGGGCTATCTGATTTTGTTCCTGGACGGGTTGTGACTGATGCGGCTCATTAAAAGCGGGTTAAATATGAATCTAGCTAGTTGTCGAGCAATTGGATATGGATTCCTTCCCTTCTCCTTTTCTTCACTTGGGGAATTAGACAAGGACGCTACTGTGTTGCTGAAGCGGGTTCAGAAGTTCTCGACGACTCTGGATGTTGGGGCACGAGTTGCTGCTCATAATTTCACTAGGATATATAGGATTTGCTATAGCTAGAAGAGTGGGGGGCCATATTGTATCTCGGCTTCCCACTAATTTATTGTAGGTTGTATGACTTTGTCTGTTTTTGAGATATCAAATTTACATTAGATTTTGACTACTTAACATCATATTTCGATATTTTTATATTATATTTTGACTTTTTCATATCAAATGTTAATATTTTTTTCATATCAGATTTTGTCATTTTAATATCAGATTTTTACATTTTTATATCAGTTTTTGATGTTCTAGTATCGAACTTTTGACATTTTTATATTCCTCCATTTTTTTAGTTGGCACATTAAATTGTACTAAGTAGTTATCTATTTTTCAACCTTAACCCTTCTTAATTAATTTTGAACAAACTTATAAAGTAATGATGATTTTGCATAAAAAAAAAAATAAAGTATTCATGATTTGGGCATCGTTTGGGAAAATAACTAGTTTCTCCCTTTGTTTTTCTAAGTTACACTTGAAATTTTACATTATTCATATGTCATCCTTATCTTAATTTTTTTTTGAAAAACCACCTTATATTATTATTATTATTATTAATAATATTTTTTTTTTTGCGAGATAACACCTTAAGCCGTTAATTCACCCCCATCCACCCAAAAACCTAATGAGTGTCATTTATGACACTCATATGATGGCATTATTTAAATTCTTATTTAATAGCTTTTCTATTTAAATAATGCCTTAGTTTCGTTCATTTATGCTTTAGTTTCTTTGTTTCCCTTATTTTGTGCTTTCTTATGATTTAAGGGCATTTTCGTCTTTTCTACTCTACTCGCTTTGCTTTCTTTTATTGTAGGTCTTGTTCGGAGCTCGAGATTTATCTTAGAAGATTTTCCAAGTCTTTTGGATGCTCGAGACGAGATCTTATACCATTCGGATGCCTAAGGATCAAATTAAGGAGCAAATTCCTACTCAAGGACCTGCGCTCTCGTCCACGCTCTCGTTGCATACTCCGGTCATGAACAAGTAAAATCTGAGTTTTGAAAGCTGCCCCCCTCGTGAGCATCATGTGAGAGCGCCGATGAGGAGGATGCTCGTGAGCGCGAAGACCAAGCCTTAGCCAAGGGAGCAAGTCAGCTGCTGCAAGCCACATCGCGCCACGGTAATGGCGCCGTGTCACGACAATTTTTGCTGCTTTGAGCTGGTGCGCGCGTGGCCAGGCCATCATGAGCATTACGTACTTTCTCGCGCGCGAGTGCAGGCCTCCTCATGCGCGCGCGCAGCTGGGTGGCCGAGCTTAGATTTGCTACTTACTATAAATACTTCATTTCTTTCTATTTTTGGGGGATGATGTTTTTCTAGTACATTGTTTTGACATTTTCCAAATTTAGTAGAGAGAGAAAGTAGAAAGAGAAACTAGAGAGAGAAAGTGTAAACTCCATAATTTGATCTTCAATTCAATCTATTTTAAGTTTGATTTCCTTTTTGATCTTCAAGTTTGGTAAATTTCTTTACTTCTTGCTTTCAATCATTGCTTTTAATTCTTGTTGTTGATGAAATTTCAATTTGATTTTGTTTGTTTGAACTTGATTAGATTTTTGAATTGATTTGCAACTATGATAATGATGATGATTAGCTTTGTTTTGTTTCTTCAATTCATGATGATTAGTGAGTAGATTTCTTAGCTAGGGTGAAAGGGGAGCATGTTTGATTGGTAGTTTGATGTTGATTTGGGGATTTTGATCAATTGTTGTAATTAAATTGATTGATGAATTTGTGCATGTATTTAGCATAATAGGATTGATCAACCTAGAATTCTAAACTTCATTGTATTGATAATCTTGATGACATGACCACGTGATTTGAGATTGTTAATTTTCATCTTGTTTGATTCGTGATTCTACTGATTTTTCATTCATAGAGGAAACCTAGCTAGTCTAGATAGCCTTTTTAAACACTTTGAATGCAATTATCATTAGTCCTTGCAACGCTTATTGCTTCGATTTACCCCCAATTTGGCACTTCTATCATGATTACATGTGGAACCTAATCCCTAGCATCTTTGTTATTGATTCTTCCTCTATTATTTGCTTTGTTGATTAGCTTACTTGACTACACATTCATACACTATTTTCGAGGTAGCTTAACGCATAGACTATAGTAATTGACCCCCATTCCTCGTGGATCGACTTGGACTAGCCCCTATACTAGGAGTAGGTTTGGTACGGTTTACAAATTTGGTTGACTTGGGAAGGCTAGCCTAACGACCCTAGTTTCACCCCTTGTCAAAACCCCACCCCACCTCTTCACCCCCTCCTCCATTGAAGCCCACTAGAGCAAGCATATACAGAAAGAAAAAAAAATCAAATACCATAATAGCACTTTTGGCCTCTTGAAATCACTACTAAATTCATCCCAAACACATTAGTGGGCATAATCAGTCCCAAAATAGTAACCCTAATTTCCAAATAAATGCCCTAAATTATGACAGTTCAAAAACCCAACAAAGTTAACACAAATTTCATTCCTCGAAATTAGGTTAATTGAGTTTCTTTGCAGCAATTCGAGCTAAACAATGGAGTTTTCTTCTTCAATGGAGAGAAATAGAGGTATGGTTGGAAGAATAGGAAAGAGAAAATTCAATGGGAGGGAAGAAAGGGGGGTTTTAATCGGAGCACGTGAGTCTCACATGACGAGTCGACGCCGGTAAATTAAGTCAATGACCTGAAAATGGGGTAAGGTGTATTCTCGCAAATAAAATCTGGTTTTTAAGTGTGTTTTCACAAGAAAAAATTTATTAGGTGGTTTTCACAACAAAAGGCTTAAAAAACGTGTTATATGATAAATTTTATTTGGCATATAGATAATTTTATATTAAAATATTGATAATTAAAGTTATATCATGATAGATGTGTAAACCCAAGTGTAGCTTTTTAATTAAAACAAAAGAACGAGTATGTTATAAAAACTCTAAAGGAAAAACAATGCCCTCACTTTAATCTTCAAATAATTCCAACAATTATTTACAACTACAATAAATTTTGAAAAATTAAAAAAAAATTTGCCACCAATACCAAGCATTCGGTTTGCCATCGATTCAGCCGGCTGCAAAACCTCTCTGTCACAGTGATGGATTCCCGACACCGACGGCGGTCATCCTCTGACCGATTCTTGAGCACCTTGAAAATAATCCCTCCTTCATCAACCGATGCCGGCGATGAGCTCAGCGAAGACGATGTCTTCTTCACCGGCGCCAATTTCCAAAACCCTCCTTCCACCTCCTCAACACCACCTCCTCATCACCATCGCCGCCATCACAAATCATACAATCCAGAGTCCTTCGGAATCCTTGCCGCATTGCCGGAATCCGGCGACGAAATCCGACCTGTATTGAACCACAAGCCGTTGATCTCTCCGCCTCCACCACCGTCATCTTCGAGGATGATTCCGACGCTTCCGAGGCCTTCCATGGACCGGCAGATCTTCTCTTTGCCGGAAAAGTACCATCAGTCTGCTCCGATGAATGTGCCGATGAGACCGCTGCCGAAGAATTCGCGGCATCAGAAACGTTTCGAGGATGTTAACGATGGAGTTGTTGATGATGATGATGATGATGGAGAGATGTTGCCTCCTCACGAGATTGTGGCCCGTCAACTTTCAAAGTCTCCGGTGCTTTCTTCTTCTGTGCTTGAAGGTGCTGGGAGGACGTTGAAGGGTAGGGATCTGCGTCAGGTTCGAAACGCAGTGTTTCGGCAAACAGGTTTTATTGACTGATTTTTGTTGTATTATCTACTCGTAGTAAGTAGGTTCCTCTTTCTTTTTTGTTTTTACCAAATTGTGCAACTTTCTTTGTGTTCTAGGCAATTCATTCTTGATTATTTGATTCGATCTGTGCCAAAGTTGTCAAGATTCACGTTATTTTTTGTGAATCTTCTTTCACTTCACTTTTTAAATTAGATTTTGGCTGTTATGCTCAATATTTGAACTAATGATAACTTGTGATGGTGTATTCTGAATCATCAATACCGGAACTATACTGAGGCTACAATGTCTTAGTATAAGTATAAAGTATTCGCGAATGGGTGAAGTAGCATATGATCATCAATAGTTTTTTCACTCAAGGGTTCGGCATCAGCAAATAACTTCAGTACATCAAGTAGTTTGGCTAATGGGTGAAGTAGCATATGATCATCAATAGTCTTTGTTTAATAGTCTTTCTTAATTAGTATAGGCAGATATGCTGCTTTTTTTGGATTTATATGATTCAAACTAATTGCTAACCAATATTAGTTGATGTCATAGCAGGCATGTCCTGCTTCCAATGGAGAAGTAATTTTTCAGACCTCGTACACAGAATAAATGTGGGACAATATTTTTTTTGTTCACACGTTTGATACTAATTGCCTAGCTTTAGATATCTTATTTTGAGTTTCATTTTGTGTATGAAGATTTACACTCGTTCTTGCAACTTGCATGAACTGAAGGCTGAAGGCGAAGACACTGTCACCTAGTGCTTCTGTTCGGCCATAGTGATGGCCTTTGTTGCCAAATGATGTCTTACATGGTGTTCTTCTGGGGCCTTAGTGTCTGAAGCCTATGTGATAAGGGAGAGGTAGATTGGGCTCAGACAATATGTTTTGATAGAGCGGAGAGTCATAATTTGTTGCAGTGTAAAGTAGGTTATCAAAGATTGTTATTTAGTAAGGTCAATAATTTGGAAATCATATTATCTGCCTGGAAGTCACTATGATTATATGATGATAAGGTGTAGTTGTGTAGATATCGTCAGATTGGTTACCGCCTGATAGACTATTATAGTGATTACTAGTGATCCATTACAGGAATACTTAGAAAGTGGCTTTCTCAACTGTCATTCTTTCAATACTTGTGTCTACTGCCCATCTTGTTCCTGTTTCTTCTTTTCAAATAAGCCTGGGTAATGGGAGTATATTGATGTTTGAGGTAAATTATTGGTGTCTTTGATAGTGATTGCTGATTGGAGATCGCACATTTACTGTAATGTATGGTTAATGTTTTTGTGAAATTTAGTTGAAGGTTCATACTGATTTTGTATCAGAGTGTACCTGAAGGCCAAATATATCAGTTGAGCTCTTTGTGACAAGGATTACCCAGAGAAACCTTAAGTGTTGTTTCCACACATGGATTAACATGACTTGTGTGAACGCAGAGGCCGGAATGGTAATGTTCTTGACTTCTGCCTGACTGAGTTGGGAAAATGTGTTGTTTTGGTCCTCTATCCTATTTATATTCAGTTTTTTGAGGATGCCTACATCAGAAGCATGGTCATCCTTTTATGTTGATTTGGAGATCGTCATGTGGTGCTGTTCAAGTTCACTTATTATTGATGGTCTAACTATGTTTTAGTTAGCTTTTAGGTGAAATTGCTTGGTCATTATTCTATCTTCCTTCAGAAAGAAGGTATTTAATTATAAATGTAAATGAGATGTGCTGGTAATCAATCAGGGGACTGATTTCATGCTGAGTTTATATTTAGATGAAGTGGGAAGAAACATTAAGGATTAAACGGAGTACATTTACTTACTATATTTGTTGGTGTAACCCTTAGTCCAGGCACTTCTTAACTTTTCCATGTCCAATTCTTGATCCATACCCGAGTAGGTGAGTATACCTGAGTAATACTTTGTTGCTGTGTAAAGTAGGCTGTCAAAGATTGGTATTTAGTAAGGTCAATAATTTGGAAATCACATTATCTCCCTGGCAGTTGTACTTGTGTAAATATCATCAGATTTTGGTTACTGCCTGAAATCATTTTTGTGATAGCTAGCGATCCATTACAGGAATACTTTGAAAGTGGCTTTATCAACTGTCATTCTAACAATAGAGAGAACAGCATGATAATAACTTTCATCTGTTCATGTTTTAAGCTATCAGCGTAATGTCGTAAGAGGGTGTGCCATGTGCTGAAGATAATGCAAGTCATGGTTATGAAAAATTAGACCTTTTGCATTCACAAATCAGAATATTTAAGCACAGGTTGCATTTAACACGACTTAATCTCTGAGGAATTGGTGAATATGATGGTACTTGTATCAATTGGCTAGTAATAGGTTGTATCCAAGCAAATTCATGAAAAATCAGTTTAGTTTTACAGCTTTAAAGACGGGCCTCAACTAATGAATTTTTACTTGTTATATGTGTGCCTCAAATGCTCCACTTTGATGTGTATTCGACTGTTCGATTATAAGGTGTTCAGAGTTTGAAGTTTTGCCATATGGTATTCGATTTTATACGTGTTCGATTTGATGAAGGGAGTCTTAGGGGGAGATCTGCCCAAACTGTAATGAACTGATATAACTCACAATAATAACAGCAAAATATAGAGAAAAGATTGGTTCTTTGATTAGCTAAATAATCCGATTTTGGTAAATTGATTTATAAAGAAGAAATAAGAAAGATGAAAGCTTTACTAACGATTGATAATGGTGGAAGGATTACAAAGGATAGGTTTAATAGCTTAAGGCTATTAATCTCCAATAGTGAGTTTAGCTCACAACCCTCTAAAATGAGTGACTTGAGGTCACAACTCTCCACAAGTTTCAATCCAATTTTTGCCTACCTTCTTCTTTCTACCCTCTCTCTATTTATACGTAGTACTAAGGTTACAAACTACTAACCTAATAATACTAGATTTCTCAAATTGCCCATACCATAATTGATAACTACTAACATGCTAAACTACCCATAATACCCTCCCCTAAGTCAGTTCATTACACAAACCTTGGAAGAAGGAAAGAAGATCGCCGGAACTTCCTCAAGGTTCCCCCAAACCTCCCTAGTTCCTTGCTTATGCTCTTTTTATGACAAGCTCCCTCCGTTTCGTATGTAATAATCACGACACATTTCTTTTACAGAGTATGCTTGTTTCATAATAATTGCAACACTTTCTTGTACTTACTATTATTTTATTATTTCTACAATTCTACTTCCCCCTAACCCATTTTTACAAATATTTTATTTTTTGTAAAAGGAGTGCACGGGAGAGAGATATATCATTAGCATAGAAGTATAGAAGCCCATTGGGAGTCTGACTAATTCAAAGAAAGACTTGATAAACCCCCTCAAAAAGGTAATTTGTGATGTTAGGACAAGACTCACAACAGCATTTTCTTCTCACATAACCGCGTAGAAATTTCAAGCGACAAAATCTACATAGTATAAATCATCTTGGCAAACTTAATCCTCTACAATCTTTTTATCTACTTACCAAATAAATTACAGGATAATAAAACAAGAAGATTTATTTAGTACAAATGGAGCAACTTCCACCTGGTTTTCGGTTCTATCCAACTGAAGAAGAGCTCATCGCCTTCTACCTCCACAATAGCCAAAGACCGGAGCTGCACCGCGTCATCCCTTCCATTGATATCTACAACTTTGAGCCTTCTCAACTCCCAGGTTAGTTCACCCTCTATCTTCATTCATCAAAGTGTCATTTCGAGTATACTACATCCGTTTCATATTATTTGCAAAAAATGACAGGGCTAGCAGGAGAGCTATGTCACAGGGACACCGAGCAATGGTTCTTCTTCACGCCGCAGCAGGAGAGAGAAGCGAGAGGAGGGAGGCCTAATCGGACTACTGCTTCTGGTTATTGGAAGGCCACTGGCTCACCAAGCTACGTTTACTCATCACAGAACAAAGTTATAGGAGTGAAGAAAACCCTCGTGTTCTACAAGGGCAAAGCTCCTATTGGCAGGAAAACTAAGTGGAAAATGAATGAATATAAGGCTACTAAGCAACAAGACTTTCAAACTATTAATGCATCATCTGTCACAACTTCTATTCCAGAGGTACCGCAGTATATATACGACTACTTCTTTTTACTTGTTTACTCATTTATTTTAAGTGACAAGCTGCCTTTTTCTTAAGTAACACCTCCTAAATTGAAACTTATTAACCTTTTGTTTTAATACTTCCTCGAGTTCCTCCGTTTTATTTGTTTTATTTACTAACGATACTTTCATAGTTGCATTACTTCTGCTCTTCTATATATGGTAATTGGTAAATATTTTATTCTCTCTTCTCTAAAACCCCATATTTTATTATTTCTATCTTTTTCATAGTTCTATTGTATTTTTATCAAAATAAATCATAATAATAACGTAATACTAAATCAGAAATCGAGAGTGACACGTGTCACATCTTGGTACTGTTTTTTCCCCTTTTCTTTTTAACCATTTTTTTTTTTTGTGAATATTTGATACAATTATAATATCATTTCAAATCTTTTATGTTATTTTTATGACAAAAATATTCCTTATTTGGTGCTTATAATTCTTCCCTAAAATATCAATCTAACTCCTTTTTTATTTGATAGACGGAGTAACATTAGATTTTGCTAAAAAAATAATACTCCGTAATAAAATTGATTCATATTATTAATATTAAAGAAATTACTTTAAAGCATCACTTTTATTTGTTAGACATAATAATTTTTTTTTTTTAAAAAAAATTACACTTACCGTGCATGGCACGGGGTCTAAGCTATTAATCATCTAATTGTTGCACTAGCACAACATAATATTAGAGGAAAAACTCTTTTAAAAATTCGCACATCATTAAGTGATGCAAATAGAAAAAATAGGAGTAGAAATGAGTTGAAAGAAAGGAAGTGGGTAAAAAGAAAATAATGCAAAGACCCCTAGTACTTTATATATATTTTTTCCTTAAATACTCATCAAGTTTAAATACATATTCTAAGGCTATTTATAATAAATTATCCTATTTCATGACCTCATTATTTATTCACACAAGAAAAAAAGAAAAGAAAATCTCCTTATGTTTTTATATGGGATATGGTTTTTCATCGTTAACTATTTTTAATTTTGTATTAAATATAATTATGAAAATTACCTTTTTAGAAAATGCACATTAATATAAGACCCCACTTGATATATTTTTGTTTCTTTATAGATTAGCATAAATAAGAGGTCAAAATTTGATCAAATTAGACAATTATTGTAGATCATATTTATAAAAAAAACGGATTTTTCACCAAATACCACTGAGTTATTGCGTTATTCACCAAATACCACAAGAAACTTTCTAATACACCAAATACCACTCAGTTAATGTACATTAACACAAAATGTCATTTTTGGTAACTGCCGTTAGTCTGCCGTTAACTCCGTTAGTAATTAAGGTTAATTATGCCACGTGGCTGTCACTTATTGACTCTTATTAATATTATCTAATTAATTACTTAAATAAAGAATTAAAAAAAAAAAAAAAACAACCACCACCTCCTCTCTCCACCAACCCCGACACCCCTTCCCCCCACCAGCCTAGCTCCCCCTCCCTGTCGTCGGCCTTGCCCAGCCTCCTCCCTCACTGGCCCTCCGGAGCTCCCCCTACCCCTGTCGTCTCTCCTTCCCGTCCTCCTCCCAAACCACCATCCTCTAAATGCACTTCAATTCTCTCAACCCATCTTCCCAAAAATCAATCTGCATCTCCTGCCGGCCGGAATCCAACCAAAACCCCCCGCCGGCGCTCCTCACCTTCCCCTGAATCGCCGTGCCCGCATCTCCCACGAAAACCCTCCCCTAACCACCGCCCAGCTTCAAACTCACTCCTCTCACCTCCAATCACCAACTCACCAATTCCAATTCCTCCTCACTGCATTTCTTCACTGGAAGCCACCAATCGCAGCAGCCTCGCCTCCTTACTCGCCACTTTTAACCCACCCCTGTCCCTTGAATTCTCTCGATGAATTCATGTATTAATTTCAAAAACTCCAATTACAAACAATTAAGAGAAGGAGCAACCTGAGTGGAGAGCGTGGAGAGTGCTTCAACGGGAAATTTTAAACAGCAATGGAAGAGGTAGCATGCGTAGTGGTCGCCGGCAGTGGAAGATCGAGGTAGCAGTGGTCGTCGTGCCTGCATTTCGCGGCGGTTTCGTGGGGGGTGGTACTTTCAGCAAGTTAGGCGGCAGTTTTGTGGCGATTTCATGGTTGTTTCGTGGTGGTTTCGTGGTTGTGGTTTTCGGATAAGGTGTTGGCTGGGGTCGGGGTTGTCGCCGGCCAGCTGGCGAAGTGGCTGGGGTCGGGATTGTCGCCGGCAGGGGTGGCGGTGGCTTGTATTGGTGGTGTTTAATTTTTATTTTATTTTTTAAAATAATTTTTCTAAAGTTAATTAAATAAATAAATAATATTAATTAGAACCAATTACAAGCTGTCATGTGCCACAATTAACGTTAATGACTAACTGAGTTAACGGAAATGGCATGTTGTGACATTTATGTTAAACTCAGTGGTATTTGGTGTATTAGAAAGTTTCTTGTGGTATATGGTGAATTACGCAATAACTCAGTGGTATTTGGTGAAAAATCCGTAAAAAAAATAAGTTCAAACTAGATTAGATCAAATAAACATAATAGGTGGATAGATTTATTGTGTTAGTCCTATTGTTTGGTTGTTCCTTTTTTTTTTCTTTTCTTTTTTGCTAAACCAGATTGCTTCAAAAATTGGTGCAGCTGAAGCATGGGCTTAGCTTGTGCAGGGTTTATATAACCTCTGGGTGTGCTCGGGCTTTCGACCGACGGCCACCAGGAACAATCTCAAGTGACTTAAATACTCAAAATTACCAAGCTATTCAAGCGAGTGGAAAAGGCTCACAAAGTGCTAATGCCACACCGTTGTTAATGGAGAAAAGTAGCTCAACTGACAGCTTTAATTCAAGGTGTGATGATCAGGGGAACGTCCAAGAGGTTGGAGCTGGAAGCAGCTACAACTCTGAGTTTGAGCTCGCTGAAGATGGTTTCTTGAGTGATTGGAAACAACTAGGTCAGTTTTGATCACGATTCTAACTAGCCAATATATTCAAGGATATGCTAATCATTTGCATCTGCAGGACAATTTGGGGGTTGTTTCTTTTGATATATCAAATATCAAATCTCACAGAAGACTACTGGACAGAGAAAGGCAGTGGAAGCATCAAAAGAAAGAAGTGATTTTCTATTCAACTACAAGTATTCAAGTCTTCTTTGCAGCAAATGATCATATATGATGAATTAGTACTTTGTTTAGTGACCATTTCATATCCGATCTAGCTGCTACTACCTCTGTTAAAAAAACAAACATCATTTTAACTTTTTTTACACTATATATTTTAGCTTTGACCACTTATATTTACTAATATAGAACACTACCCGTATATGATTAATATAAATGATATGTGTTACAATTCGTCATTTGGAGCAAAAAAATTTATCCCAAATTTCTATCAACAATTTGGAGCATTGCACATTTACACAATCTCAAAACGAGTAAAATAATGTAATTTCAAATGAACCAAGTCGAGCATAAGCAACAAAACCCAATGTAAATTTCAGGGATCAGGGCCAAAGAACAATGAGCACATATTCTGGCTCTTTTAAAATCAGAAATCCAATAGCATTTGCCGCCAAACGTGTTTGTCATCATGAAGAAATATAGACAAGTAAGACAACTGCAGAAACGATCCATATTCACATACTACGTATTTCGTGTAAATCAAGCAAATACAGTATGAGACATGCACGCATTTTGATAAATGTGGAAATGTAATTCAGTTTTTTTATTTTTTTTTTTTTTATTTTTTTATTTTTTTTTTTTTTTTTTTGTACAGACTTTCAGAGAGGAACAAACACATCTTGACATCCCAAACATGTAGGGTAACACAGTCGCGGAATCGCCTCTCTTACAAGAGATAAACAACTGACAAAGACCTGTGAATAACTTCAGAAATGATGCCAGAAAGACAACTAGCTAAGATCTGCAATTTGGCAGAGTAAGACCTCCGCAGCAAGCAGCAATTATAATAAACAGAAGTACAACCAGCAAGCATGTCAGCCAAACCCTGCAAGGATGTTAAAAAGCCTGTCACAATGGTAATCAGCTTAGAGACTGTAAAACTTAAGCCTTGTCGTTTTTAACTATCAACATGAGGTGCTGAATTCATTGTTCCAACTGCATCTAAACCTCACGCACAAACTTTGTCCGAGGAAACCAAAAAAGAATCACCATGAATAAGAATTAAAACATCAAATGGATCCCTGTACCCTCTTCCTCCCTACAACACACACCATATAGTCCACATTACCTGTTTCTGTAACTTTACTTATAAACACAATTGAGGCCAATGAAATTTGATTCAAGACATGAGAGAACTGTGTAGAAACTAGAAAGGCGAGTGAATCTTACAGCAACTTGGCATTTTTCATCCAGAGGGCACGACGAAGACGCTTCGACTGTTTCCTGAAATGGAAAGCACTATCTTGCATCGTTGCAGTTTTATCTACAAGGAGCTCAATTCTGTCACCTCTCTCCAGTATCTTTTCGATATTTTCTACCATAATTGTCCGAATCTGGACAAACCAATAAATTTTCAGAAAATGTTCAGTTTAAATGTAATAGCTTGTTAGTAATGGAACTCCTGTTTGCTAATGATAAAGGAAGACTTCATAAAAATTACACACAAATCCTAACCATTGAGAACCAACAAAAATAGATATGAAGATAACTTTCACAATCAAATAAGCTTTTCCATGATTTCATGCTAATTGTAAGGGTAAACCAGCACAAGTGATATTCAGCTCTCATGCTGATGGAAGATGGATGGGGACATACAAAAGGGTCTTACTCCTGTCCAGTCAACCAAGATTAATAATCGCTAATGGTAAAATGATTCAATAAGAGCAAGCAAGATTTTCTGCATAACAATTAGCAAGCCTTCTCCGCAAATTGCAATAAATGATGCAATATGTGCATCAAAATGAGTTGAAGCAATAAGGAGAACGTAAAATATTGAAAACTAGCAAAAGTGCTAAAACCTAAACAAAACTTGCCTCGTTAACTTCACCTCTGACACGATTTATAGTATCTGCTGAAGGGCTGCTGGAAAAGAACTCCATTTGCTGATGCAAAACTCTTGAAAACTCATCGTTCACAGCGTAAGCAGGTGCATGCTGGGCTATTTTGCTATAATTTTTCATGAACCGCATATGAATCTCCTCTAAATATGAAAACGGGATACGTCCTACCAAACAACAAAAAGACAGATAAGAAAAGACTACAAGAACTAGTCAATCAAACACAGTGATGAGGAACTTATGCAGAAAAGTTACAGTGTTGAAGACATAGAGCAAGGACATAAGTACAAGACAAGATAAAGAGGCTGAGCCTCCATGCAAATTGTGAATAAGAACTTTCAATCAGAACTTGAATCCAACAGTTCAGTAGGGCTTTGCCCTGAAATTTAGTCAAAGGATTAGTCTAAGTAAATTCCATTCATAAAGGCCTTTAAAATTAGACAGTGACATCCATTATAGACCCTTATGTTACTGCATAAGAAATTACAAGCCATTCCTAAAGTTGATTCACATATCGTACTATAGAGATTCACAAGAGAAAACTTTAGACTCGCATTTTTAAGGATAAGCTTATTAATAGAAATATTAGCAACTTACTTTTCACAATACCGCACAACCCTCTGCAAATGGTATTTTCTAGTACAATCTACAAGATAACAAACACTTAGACTAATATTTCTAAGATAACACGGAATCCTTCCAATTTGTCAATTGATGCCACAATGAACACAACACACAACGCAATCCCTCACTTTTGCAACTCTATAACCACGTTTGCAATCGCAATTGCAATAACATGATCAAGATAATAGAGACTAGGTAAAAAAATCCAATAGCCAACACAAGGTTTTATAGCACATCTAGAGGAGTAAAAGTCACTCCCTTTACTTTGTACAATCTCTTTTGCTGTTGTCTATCCGGGATTTTATTAACATAAGGACTAAAGCCAACAAAAAACTTCCTGAAATCAAAAGAGCGTAAAAGTCAAAAAAGTTGTCTACGCCTTCACATTTGTCCAACTGACAGAACAGTCACAAAAGACATTCAACACCTCCCAACTTGTGTGCACATACACCCACACATGTAAAAATGCACTGTAACAAATGCTAATGTAATGGACCATTAAGCCACCTATTCTCAAGCAATATCAAAGAAGGGGTAAGGTTGTCCAACCAAGCCTTCCACCAATCAACACAGCAGCCACAAATGAGGAGGTGGCACAAGGGGACAAAGACAATTACAAGGCCTGAGCAGCAGTAGCAACTCTGGGGAGTGGAACCATGGCAAGACAATGGTAGTGAATGAAGACAAGAAAGTTAAGGACAGCTAGTACTATTTTGTAATCCTTGTTGTATATAAATTAAGAGGTTAGGGTGAGAAGTTTTGGCATGTGATTAGACTGATTTTGAATTGAGAGTTGTATCCTAAAGATACTATCTTGGAGATTGGTAGGCTAAAGCTGCCGTTTGCTTTCTCTTTCATTAATGAAACACCACTGCTAGCTGCCTTATTTTGCTCTGTTTTTCCTTATTCACTCCTGACTTTCGTGTGTAGTAGAGTAGGTGAGGGTTGAGTCCCTCACAGCTAAGTCTTCTGGAAACCATGGGATGAAACAGATGAATGATGTAGAATGTAGACCACTCTTTTGAGTTGCATAATCATTTTAATTTGAAACACCATTTTTGCCCCTACCCTACCCCTCAACCCTCATTTATTACACTCTCCCGAGGAAGATTACATTAAGGGGAGGCTCAATATTGGGTGAACAATCAGCCACTCCATGAAACTATGAGAGAGAATAATAGACTTCAGACTGTGGAATGAGAATCTACACAACCCAACAAGATGCCACAAGGAAGAGTACTTTAAGGGGAGGCTCAAGATTGGGTGAACAACCAAGGTATATAGCTCATCACCACTCCATAAAACTATGGGAGATAATGATAGACAGTAGAATGAGAAATATATGAGGATCTCACACAACCAATTTGGGTTTATACCAGAGCGGTCTGCCATGGAAGCTATACATTTGATAAGGCATTGATTCAACTCTTAGCTCAAATGGAGAAGGGTATTATGTGACCTAGCATACCATGGAAGCTATATGTTTGATAAAGCATCATACGGCTATCACACCAGGGTTTATGGGTCAAACAAGGGCATTCAAGAAAGATCCTTTTAAGCAAGAATAGCAAAGATGCATATGTTGAGATAAATTGTATGCCTTAAAAGTTAAAAGATAGAATTAGAAATGAAGATCATAAGAGGAAAGTTGGAGTTGCATATTGTGTTGGCTTGGGCATGTCAGACAGAGTGATCGAAAAACACACCAATAAGGAACGTAAAGGGGGAAAACCAAAGATGACCTTGAATAGAAGGAGTTAATTACATGAAGAGGCTGGGTTTGCTGAAACACATAACATTAGACAGAAGGGAGAGGAAAGAGAGGATCATGGTTGGCGAGATAAAATTTTGGTTCGTGTAGGCGAGGTAAAATCTTGTTCCACCTTCAAAGTCAATCAGCCATAGGCCCAAAGTCCAATATCATTACTGCAGGGACTATGTCAAAGGCACATGGTAGGGTACAACCATACCACAGAATACTTCCAGAAGAAGAATAACATCCTTTTATGATATGAGAAAATGAACACCTCTAAATATATATAGATGGTTAGATGTAACATGTTGTAAATGAGTGTGATTTAAATAATCTTGCAAACATTCAAAAACCTCAATTGTTAATACTATCATCAATTACAGGAAGACGAAAGGGAGTGTGATGGCTGATACGGCATTGAAATTATAGATGGGGATTGGTCTTGGTAGCCAAGGAACACAAAATAGCTACACAAAGCTTGAATGTGACGAAACTTGTGGCAAATCATCAACATACACAGATGGTAATGGCTTGCTTGCATTACTTCTTTTGTCTCAGGAACACAATTTTTTTTCAATGAGTAAGTGGCTTTTAAGCTTCTCCTTTTCAAGATCCAAATCTTGTGTTGTGGGAAAGGTGAAGAAGATGGACAATAGTTTATTTAGTTCAGTAGGCCATTGCCCATCCCACTTTCTTTTCCATTCTCTTCAATTTGTGCTTATATTGTGCTATTTGAGGAAGTGAGTAGACTACGTAAATGGATGAATTAAGATATAATATAAACTGTATCAACTTATAATTTTCTTCTTGTTGGTGGCAATTTTTTGTCAATTAATTTGTTCGTTTATTAAGTTTAATGTCTTCCTTAAACTGCGTGCCAAAGTGCTTCTACGCTTCAACTAATATCACTAAAGCAGATATTCCTCTTAGTAAAACATCAACATCAAAATTAACCAATTCTCTCTCCCCCCCAACAACCAGATCCAAATTCCTCAATAGCACATAGTAATCATATCCTCAAACATTTACTTAATTAAAACCTCAATTGTTCTCGTATATGAATATTAACCAATTAAAAGACGTAAATCAAGAGAAACAAATAGACAATTCACAAAATCCAAACACTAAATCAATTTGCCAGAGTAAGATGAAATAAGCCCTAAAAATAAAGCAAGCAGTAATGAATCAAACACTCTAATCACAACAAAAACAGGCAAGACAGAAAAACAGAGAATAGAAGAGGAAGAGAGAGAAAAAGTACTGCCGAAGGTATCATTGGCCATACAGAGGAAGGTAAGACCATCGGCCCGATAAATATGAAAGATATACCGATCTTGTGAGAAACAAAGACGGGAATCAGCTTCCGACGGAAGTTTTTCAAGAATACGGCGAGCCACGGCACCGATGTTGCCGGTAACGGCGCAGAACTCCGACAGCACGGTGGTTCCTCTCGCAACCACCGCGTACAATATCGCCATTTGCTATTTTGTTAATCGGTCGAATTCCTGCTCTCTCTCTCTACTTTCCTTGAACAACTGACCGCTGTACAACGACTTTGTTGGGCGTTGGCTAATTTAACCAGTTGCTTGTTACGGAGTACGGAGTATCATTTTACTAGTAGGAAAAAAAAGTACGTTTATGTTTTGACTTTTACTATCTCTTTCCGTTAACAGTTTAAAAAAACTTTTTCAATTTCAATGTCAAAATTATGGTTTTAAAGGTTTTGGAGTGATTTAGGCCCTTTCAATCAAAATTGACAAAAAAAAATTATCGGATATACCTTGTTTTATGTGTGTCACACAAAGCATTTGTTAGTAGATAAAATGAGATATCTTTTTTTTGTAACTTCTGACCTCAAATCGAACTCAAAGGAAAATAACCTTCAAAACCGTTAAAGTGCATTTTTTTGCACAAAAATCAAAGTGTTTTTTTTTAATTCCATAAGGTTTAATGATTATTTTGACTGCAGGTGGTGAAAAACAATTTTTATATTTTTATTAGGTGGTAAAAAACACTTTTAGATTTTTTTTTTTGTGGTAATAGTAAAATTTGAAAACCATTATAAAACTAACTTTAGTAATTAAAAAAAGAACATTTTCCGTCGAAAAAAAAAATTAGCAACAATAAATTTATCAAAAGGGCACTATCGACATCTCATTAGTTTAGACAGGGGTAAAAGTGTGAACTCTAGTAACGTAGTGGAAACATTAGTTAGAGCCAACACAATTGACATTAACTTTGGAACAAATGTTTTTTCACAATAAGGTTAGGGATTGTTAGAAAGTTTGGGGTTTTCAGCTCTCAACAATGTAAGTTGAAAATTCTGTTTTTTTTTTTTTTTTTTTTTTTTTTTGTGAGAAAAAAAGTTGAAGATTCCTTAATCCTACAATAATGGAGGTCGACAAAATTATGTTGATGGTGGAAGGAAATTCACAAGCAAATTATCAATACTGTAATCTAACTATTGGGCATAGGTTTTAAGGTTAAAATTAGGTTTTAGGGTTAGAGTTTAAGGTTGAAGGATAGAGTTTAGGGTTTAAAGTTAGGGTTTAGGGTTTTGGTTAGGGTTTTAGTTTAGGTTTAGGGTTAGAGTTTAGGGGTTTAGGGTTTAGCGTTTAGGGCTAGGGTTTACGGTTAGGGTTTTGGTTTTTAGGGTTATTGAAATTACCTATTTACCCCTGAGATCTAGTTATCTTTTAAAAAAGAAAAACTATTTTCCCTTTTTTTTAATAAAAAAAGGTTTTTCTATATAGTAATACGGTTAATTTCACTTTTATATGTTGTGAGTCACTTTCTACACTGTATACATTTAGTTTTCACACGGTAACCTTGTCGTATCATGCCGTTAAAAAAATTCCGTTAATAGGCCCACTCTCCATTTATTTATATTTTTTATCGATTTGCGCGTTGGAAAACCTTCTGTTTAAGGTTTTGGGTGCAATTATAGAGCTTAAGGAACCAAATTGAACTCAAATTTCACAAAAAAGTAACGTAAATACATCATTTTGCTTATTAAAAAATGTCTCGTTTTGCTTATTGGCCGCAGCGTAAGTCTTCAGCCCATTCCCTCATTTTTGTAAGCTCACTTTAGTTGGCCTACGAATTTTCTCTGTTTTTGAAAATATGGCTTCGAACTTAATACTCCTTAGTGAACTGTGTCAAGTACATAACTACATAAGGCTAGTTGTTCCTATCATAAATGGAGAACTTACTAATTGAGTAATTTAAGAGTATATTTTACGTAATGTTTTTATTTACATTTTTAGAAATTACCTATTTTTACCCTTTGTTAAATTAATAAATGGGGCTTAAATCATTGATGTGATATCAAAAGCTCAGCAATCTGAAGATTATATTTTAAGCTGCTTCAAGTAACGCATTCCAAAACCCTTTAGCTCAAAACTCGAACAAATTAAGAAAGAAGAATATAGAGAGTTAACGAGACATAATGAACCTCTTAGACTCTATCAATCTTGTCATGGTGCAGTGGTGCTTCATTCTTTCTCTGGACGCCAATGTCAAGACTTTATTCATACTACTACCTCATAAACGAAACATGTACTGATGTACGAAGTATTTGTTAGGTAAAAAGAAATTAAGCAGAGAAAACACAATGAATGAATTACTCATATCAAATTAAAAGTATGAAACATAATGAAATTAAGCTAAGATGAAAATTAAATTACAAATTCACAAACACATGGCTTAAGCCTATATTTTAAATCACACCCATACACACTAATTTCCACTATGTATTTTCACCTAGCTTCCTAGTATACATTTCACAATATATCAGAAATATATATTTTTTCACTTGTAACTTTTGGATATTCATAATCATCAATCCTTTCTTACTTTGATGATCTTTACTCTTTTTTTTTGGTATCAATAAGATTAGATAACAACAAGTTGTTGAACTCTTCATTGGAATCAAATGAAGAGCAAAAAAACAAAACTGTAGTAATCATCTTTGACTTCAACGATACCTCCAATCAAATCTGTCCACTTGGAAAGGTGGGTAAAGATCTCCACATAAAGGGACAGAGTGAGGGATCATAGGGACCGAGTCAACACTACTCCGAGCTTCACCACTAAATCTTGTTCTTGTCCATGACATATGATGATTCTGAATTTCCTTAAGTGGCCGCCTTTGAAAACTATTCTGCTGTTTGGCCTTGTTTGATGCTGTAAGGTTCATGTATCTTGGTTTGCTGCAACTGCTGTCGTCTGTTCTGCTTGTGCTGCTAGACACTGGAGTTCTAGAAGCTGATAATGATGAAGTAGAAGTTGAGGATTCTTCAGTCAGAAGTTTTGAATTTGGCTCAGAAGAGGTTCGAGCAATATGTCCTACATAATTAGGCCTTCTAACAATCTTAACTTTTTCTGAATTCTGCTCAGAGACACTTGAATAGTCAACTCTCAAATTGTTTTGCTTTGAGGAAATCTTAGAGAGTGGAGACATGTATGGAAGGTCACTTCGTACTTCCTCCATCAACCTAGTTTCCCATGGTTTGCTAGCCATCCAACGGTCCAACCAACTCCAACCAAAGCCACTCTTATCAAGTTTCGGAGGCTGAGAAGTGGTAAATGATTTGTTCTTCCCTAGGTTCAAATTGGGGCTGCCTCTAAATTGCTGTAATAGAAGGCACGACTTGTAAATGTCATGCTGATAAAATAGTATGTAGTAGGAATTGTTTTTTTTTGCAAATTGTATACCTGTTGAGTGGCAGCATATGAAATTGCCCGTTCTCTCTTGATGGCTGCTTCTTGCCTTGACTGCAGCTTTGTCCTGATTTCATCCGCGCTTCCTCTACTGTCACACCATCCTTCCTATAAACAGACAACAGTTTATGTCACTACAAAAACAAAGTGTGGATCCAACCAACAGAAAGGATTTCAAAACACCCACAAAAACAATTTTTAAAGGCTGCAGGGGAAGAAATCTTATGAATGAATCTTAAGAACCTTTTCTATCCCTGTAACACAGTTCATGTTCACAATTCAAGCATACGACTCGTTATCCATTTACCTCTGCTTCCTTAACAGGATCAGCTTGAAGACTGTCGACTGATCTCAATTCATCCTGTCCTTCAAATGCCATCCTCACTCGGTGGGCCTTGACATGCGCTTGAGCTCTAACAAGTGCCTGCATGCACCTTAGAGTTACTGCAGCTTGCTTCCTTACTAATCGACCTCGAACTATAGCCTGAAGTTTCACAAGGGATTTCAAGGCCCTTAAAGCCCGTTTCGCCTACCAATCATAGATACACGTACATATCAATATCAATATTACCCCAATACTTTCAAATTAACCTCCCGCCTTAATTAAAGTGGCAAGGGAGGACCAAATCTGATTTACTCCCACAATAATTCAAAGGGTATCATAGAAATTTGCACCAGAACCATATAAAATAACACTCCAATACTTCAATTTTGCGCATAAATAAAAGAAACTCCCTCAATTATGTTTCATATAGCACTAACTGGCATAACATAAAGTTTGCATAACAGAGTCAATTCATTTAATATCATGGATTATACAGTATATGTTGGCATCCATTAGGATTACCAAAAAACTAACTTTAAATTTGTATGCCATGTACAACCATAACCTATAATCCAACATAACTGAAATTTTCAGTTGACATAAATGATCAAACTCTAGCTAGCTAAAAATCACAAAACATCAACATGTTTTTTCACAAAATTACCACAAACAACTTATTCCTCCCAGTCTCCCACTTTAAATAAGCCACATTCTATTTTAGTAGAATATCCTGAAATTATTAGTCACAAAACAATAAGCATTCCCACATTACTTGATGCGGGAGCAATAGTCCAATATGGGTTTTCTTGAAAATTCATGGAGTTTTTAGAAAGCCTACACTATCTTTTAGTTATTGTTAATTATTAGGATTTTGCCTACTGGGTTTTAACCTTTCACTTGAAAGGATTTTTCCTATTTTCAGGCTTTAAGAGTTTTAGTTATTAGGATATTTGTTTGTTTAATTTATTTATGTTAGGATAGATTTAGTAGTTTCTATCTTATTAGGATATGATTATTAGTTTCCTATCTTATCTTTGTATGATTATTTGGAGAGTCTTGAGAGATCACATCATTACTATCACTTATTTAAGATTTTTCTACTCTCTCAACTCAACAATTATGTAATTTTCAAGCAGAATTCCTTAATAACCCCAAATTATAGAATTGAATACAACATACAAGCAAATTACAAACAAAAAACAGAAAAATAAAGACTTTTAGAAGAAGAAATATTATACCAAAAATGCACGAAAAGCAGTTTGAATACGAATAGCAGCCCATTCTTGACGAACGAACAAGAAATTCTTAGAAGGAGCTCGAATAACAGCAGCCATGGCAGCATTAATTCTTGCATCTCCACCACCAGCCGTTGATGTAAAATCAGACGGTTCTGATTGCGCCACACCTTTGACTGATGGATTTTTCCAAAGTCTCCATCTTTTTCGACTCTTCACTTGTCCCACTTTCTCCTACAAACAAACTTGAAGATTTAGAAGGAAAACAGAACAAACAAAACCCAGAAAAATAGGAAAGAGAATGTTTAGAAAGATGAAAATTTTATAGTAATTTAAGCTTACATGATGATCATTTGAGTTGGGTTTTTTAAGATTGATTAAGGATTTTAGCCAATTTGATGAAGCACCCATTTTGAGAAATTCTATGTTTTTTTTGGAGATTTTAAGGTTATGTTTTTGTTTGGATTGTTTGTTTTTATTTTTTAGAGAGAGAGAGTGTGTTGAAAAAATCGAATGGTAGATTTTGAGTTCAAGTAAGAGGAGAGAGAGTGTGAGTGAGTGAGTGAGTTATAAGAGTGGAGATGTTTGAAATTTGAAAGAGGAAGTAGAGAAGTGTAACGGTAATGATGAGAAGAAGAAGAGGGAAATTGCTTTGCTTTTTCTATGCTTTTTCCCTAGACAAGCTTCCTTAATAAAGGAGGATATTAAGGTTAAAGGCAAATTTACTCATATCCATCATCAATCTCACTCGGGTTATCATGACAAAGTGACGAAATATTACCCATATGAATATCATTTTTCGAAAAAAAGTTATACGGAGAAGAGGAGAAATGATTTTGGCACACTAAAATTGATTTTGACACTCACGGTTTTCTATGCTCTTTTCATATAAGAGTACCAAAATCAATTAAGGGTGTGTCAAAATCAAATTCCGGAGAAGAGAAGTAACATGAACTAAAATAACTACGGAGTAACTATAGAGTACATGTCTAATAACATTCCCTCAAAATGAAATAGAAATCCTTATTTATTGACAGTAGTTATTTGAATTCTTCAATCTTCTTCTTTATGTTCAGAATATTTATATCATGGACCCCAAAGCCGGGACCTCTTCAAACTTTGGTACATGGGGAAGGGTACCTGCCTACCTGGAGATTGTTGTAGTCAAATAAATTTAGAAACTGAAGAAATCATCAACGTCGGTTATTATGACAAACATATACGTAGTACTAAGTATATACGTAGTAATTAAAATAATGCAACTCAGATTTCAAGTTGACAACTCCAGTTTGACTTTGCATGAGTATGTTGTATTCTTGTGTGGAGTGAAACTGTTTAAATTACATGTAGGACAAAACATTTGTGGGATCAAAGTATATATTCTATATATAAACTGTTGGAAGTGGTACAAATGGAGAATCCAACACTTCCAACAGTAGTACTAATAATTGTCTGAAATTCCTCAAATTAGGACATGAAAGTACTAATCCAGTATTGGAAGCTGGAACTGTGGAGCTGCTAATTCGGTAATTCGGTATGCATACTCGGACTCTGCCCGCTTCTATGTACCAAGTAAAATGAAAAATGAAACTATTTTATCGGGAATATGCAGTCACGTTGCTAGTGCAAATTACATTGTCAACACCAGAATCGATTCTTGAAACTACCTTCAGGCTTCAGGTTCAGACACCAATATGAAGCAAAAATTTGATTTCTTGTACTCCGTACTTTGTATATTGAATTCCTTCACACGTATTCAACAATGTCTGTAAGAGCTTGCAAGCCCCCAGGAAAAGCAATTACAAAAGAGGACAAAAATATCCAAGATTTCTTCTGAAATTTTATGAAAAAACTAGTCGAAACCCCATAACATAAAAATTTGATGCATGAGCAAACACTGAAGGTTTGAAGCCAAATTTTGAAACATTTATCCTCTGTAATTTCTAAAAACAAAAACAGATAGAATTTACATAAACAAACTGCCCAGGAATCCTGGTGGCTGAATTGGAATCAAACAAGTAAGAGTCAAACGATTTACACTCATTCCCAGAATCCAAATTCTATGAGAAGAGAGTTGGAATCAAATTAAACATTCTTGTAACAGAAACTTACATCATTCTCTTATTTGTCATCTTTAGAATCCTTTTTTGGAAGGATTGCTCCAACAATGGCCTCAACTTCTTCCTTCACCCGTTCGAATACATTTGGAGCTTTGATTTCATCGACTGGTGTACTTTCATCTATATCACCACTTGTCCCATGAGTTTCCTTGCGGTGACGTGGTGAGGCTGGTGACTTATGATGAAAGAGTGCTTCAATCTCTTCCTTAGTTTTTTCAAAAAAATCAAGACTTTTCACCTCCTTCTCTGTCATAAAGAAGCAAACTCCTCAGAAGCAAGCTTTGTGATACTAATAAAACCAAGTTATCTAACAACAACGGAGTACCACAATTCTTCAATTGCAACAGAGAAAATCTTCCTAATGTTTCCACAACATCACGTCATCACATAAGATTGAAAATGTATTCTATGATCAGATCCTATTATAGAGATATACCCATGCCCTTGGAAGTCATACAGCATCAAAAGATCTCAAAGACTTAAGTTTTGTGAATTGCAAAGACTAGAAATCAGGCGCAGTATAAATTCCTTCTGAGGTAGATGTAAGAACAGATGGTCTAGGTGATCAAAAAGAGTACAGGGCAGTAGAAATGTGAATTTCGACTTCAAATTTCCTTTATTTTAAAACTGTTATGTAACCTTCTCAATACACTTCAAATTCACACTCTAAAACTACAAATCAGTTGAGATTGACACTCAATAAAATTTGAACAATTGAAAGTTGGGACGAAATTCATAGATTCTCCATAAGAAACACTGAACATCCAAACACGATCGATTAGGACTTTGTTGTCGCTATGATTCATAATCTGCTCATATGAATTCTTGCCAACTATATTCATGAAAACGGTTCTAGAGCAATCCCAAGGTTAGATATATGCTGTTCCTAATATCAGCCTTGCAACTACAGGTACTTCCCTAATTATAGCTGATTCATCAATCCAATGAGGCCAACAAAGCCGCAGATTGGTTAGCAAATAACAATCAAAGGCGGATATAGGATTATTAGGTTGGTGGGGCACTAACTGATGGTCAATTCAATACATAACTCATCTTATCTATGTATGATTATGATTCTTCAAGGGCCTCCCCAGGAATTCAAAAGGTTTACTATTGATGATATTGTAGGAGTGGCTTTACCACGCTTAATTGTTAAACTTAATCATCTTTGCTTAATTGAGGGGCTCTACCCCTGATTGGAGCATTTTACCTAAATCAAAAGTTAAAAAGAAGAGATCCCTACAAACAGCAGGATCAATTTATCAACTTTACATCTACCCTTTTGTAGGGTATTTCAAGAAAAAATCACCAATTAATTAATAGAGCAAGTGACCCCATTTTAGTACTTATTTGGGTTGCTTTCAAATACTCAAGAATGCAGCTGTAAAAATTACCACTCAATTGATTTGAACAACTATGAATTCCCTAATTAATCCACGCCAAAATTTGCAATTTTTTAAAATCGAGCATCAATCATAATAAAATTATATACTAAGAATGGGAAGAAAGCAAGGTATTGCAAATCGCAAACAGCAACAGAACCCAATCAAGATTCAAAAATTAAAACCAAAAAAATCTTAAATGAATGGAGGAGAATAAGAAAATATAAGATAATAAAAATTTGCATACTTGGGTGAGTATCTTCTGTGTTTGATGCAGCAGCTGGGTGGTCTGCCATTAGAGAAAATTTGAGTCGAAATTCTGTAAGAATGAATGATTAGATATTTAACTGGATGAAGAACAGTTTAATAAAATAAAAAAATGGAATATGGGATATTTGGTAAAGCACATGGATTAGTTTTGAGACTGTTGACAGAACAAACCTGTTGGTAATTTGGTAAATGAGTTGGTGGATTTGATACTATGCTTTTTTTTTTTCACTTATTCCATTTCTATCTTAATCATCCAATAAATAGATAATTGTATTATTTGACTTATGCGATCCCAGGCCAAACCCACTCGTGAAATTCTCAGCCTTTAATAACTTGAATTATTAATAATTCTAATAACACTTGTTAGTATAAAATTATAGGTTGTTATTATCAGCTAAGCACAATTTTATACCAACAAATATTATTAGAGTCATATGACTCAAGTTATTAGAGGCTGAGAAATATTCGACGCGCTCACCGACCCCAATGTAATGAAAGAAAACCCAACATTGGTCATTGGCCACATAGGATGACGTCAATCTAGGGATTTAATGTTTTTAAAGTGGAGGTGTATGCTAAGATTGCTAACCCACCTACAATAATTGGGTAGCAATTTAAAAAATTAAAAGATCATCTCTATTAAGTCAGAAGTGGAGATGAATGTTATGAAGTAATAGATGAACTTGTTTTGTAGAGAGTAGGGCTTGAGTCTCTATTGTTGACTGTATAAATGCAATAACGCTTGATTAGTAGCTTTAATTAAATTTAAGGATGTGTTATATAACTTCATTTTCATCTATCTAAACTTATTAAAATGGAGTTGGACTTTCTATCTAAACTTATTAATAGCTTTAGAGTTTAGACTAAGAATGTGTTGTATAACTTCATTTTATAGTGAATATTGGACTTTTGAATTTTACTATAAATTGAGCACAATAGGACCTCAATTAGTCATTAGAGTCCTCACTAACATGGTATGATCTTTAATTCTTAGGTTTTGTAGCAAGGTGGGTATTTTACTGTTTGAACCATTTAAATTCTCTTATTATTCATAATTAAAAGTTACAAGCAAGATACTATAACATTTATTAAATTGTACTTCGTACTTGTATATGTTGTCTGCTTTAAGCCTTCAATCCGCATCATACTAACAATAGGACATCATGTTACCTTTTTTGAGTTAGTAAATCTTCTTTGTAATATATCGTATACAAAGTATATATATTTCATATGGTCAATTGGTGTCATGGGGACTTCAATTCATTAACAGTTTTCTCATTTAAACATTAAACTTATTTATCAGTAATCCATAAAAAAAAAAAAAAATGCGTTAAATTTATCATAGAAATTCGCCTCTGTTGATGCCTTGATGGGTTTTATTTTCGAAAAAATGATTTTGACACATCTATTATTGATACTAGCATTTTCACAATAGGCATGCTTAATTACTTTTGGTGGGCCAAAATCAATTTTCTTTATTTTCTATCATCCTTAAATTTAGAAGTAAAATCAAGATAGAAAAAAGAATAAAAAGTGTAACGTTCTAGTTGACTTGAGACTTGACTCACTTGAACAACAATGTGAAATATGAAGAAAATAGATGGGAACAAAGAAGAAGAAGAATAGTAGAGCACATATAGTCAAATATAGCATAGCATAGCCTGAAAGCCATGTACTACAGCTACGTTAATTAAAGTTCCATGCAATTACCCAAACTGCGGAGCATATGTCATGTCGCTGCTTTCTGAATTAAACAGCAGTGATTTATCAATATCATTTCCAATCATTCAATCATCTATCCATCCTCCATCCTAAACTTCACTATGTTCTTCACTTTTTCCAAATCTGGCACTGTACAAGTTTAAAGTTCTCCCAATTTGCTTCTTGTTTTTTGGCCTACTTTAAGCTTCATGTTTATTGGAGATTATTCAATTTATACAAGCTGTTTCACTGCCCAAATTCTAGTGTTATAAGTTTAAGATGGACTGATTAGAGGCTAAGAATTGTTGTCACGTTGGTTATGATCCTTCACGAGATTTCCCCACATTCCTTGTACACCTACTCCGTATTTTCTAGGGTTTGCACAGACGCATAGTTGTTAGGCATACAAAATTCCTTCTTACTAGAAAAAATATATTCGTAATACTTTCTCCGTTTTTTTTATTGCATCATAGGGTTTTGGAGACAAAATTTGGTAGTGGAAAAAAGTAAGAGAGAGAATCGTAAAAATACAAAATTGTCCATGGAATGTAAGATAAAATAAAAAGTAAGTGTGAAAAAATAAGGGTATGTTGGGTATTTGCAGTGTGAACATAGATATTTTTTATCATAAAAAGGAAATGATGCAATAATAAGTAAACTTCCTAAACTAGTAAGTGATGCGATAGAAAAAGAACGGAGGAAGTATGAGAAAAATGTGCGAAAAAAAAAACACAATATTATCCTTGCATAAAGTTTGTATGTAATATTTTGACATATCCAAATTGGAATTCAGACATGTAAATAGCAGACGGAGAGAAACGTATTATGAGTGCTTGCACTACCTATGCAAGCATTCAGGAATTTTATTTTTTCTGTTTTTTTGTAAAGGTTGGCTCACACGTCAGCTGGATAAGTAGAGACATGATAAAAGTTTTTTTTTTTTTTTGAAACATGATAGAAGTTTACATGTATGAAACCTCACATTTCATTAGACTTCTTAGATACGAAATACAGTGATTAACTGCAGCACTACACATAAACAGTATTTTTTATTTAATTTTTTTTTTATTTTTTTGGTAAGGATCAATAGTCACTCTCCAATCTCAGCCTACTGCATGACTGAAATGGAATTTCAGAAACTGATATAAAAATAATAAATCCAGAGGAAATAAGTTGCAGCATGCCAGTTTCAAATCAGAAAATCTGTCAGCACTATTACCTCTCAAAAAACACAAATGACTTTCAATATAATTCTGAGTAATGCAGTATAACAAGTCACGTCATGTAATTCCATCCCTCATTAAACCTCAATTTGTTATAAATAATCACATTGTCTCAACCACTAAATCACAATCCTAGTTCCATCTCAGGACATATAACAAATTTTCCGAACATCACAAATTGTACTATGATACTCGGAATCCTGATTTCATCTCAAATAGCCGAATCTGAGTCCGAGCAACATTAGACATAGTGATAGTGAATATGTGCTGCTAATAATTTCTAACAGCACACAAAAGAATTAATTTTTTTTTTTTTTTTTTTATGAAGGAGAGAGAGTTTACTGGAAGAGTACTCCAGTAGGACTAACAAACTTAATAAATAAAGAAGCTATGAAGAAGAAACCTGCAAAACAGGTGACTGAATCATAAATTGGGATTCAATAAATAAGGGAAGAAGAAAGGATTCTGCAACTGAAGATCTCTTACCTTTTCTAGGAACCAAATAATATAATACAGAGAAAAGGCACTGCAGTCAAGGATCCCTATGCTCTACCTACTCTTAACAATTCCAGAGATTTTGTAGGACTCATCCCCATTTTCCCATCCTTTTCACTTCTCAGATCCATAAATGGCAGCTGTCATTTGAGCCATCTTATTAGACAATCAAACATTCAAAGCTACCCAAGCTTAAAAAAATGAAAAATAAAGAATCTGTCTTTTCTGCAAGTGTGTTGTCAAAGATATAAGAAGAGTTATCAGTATATCAGTAGAAAAAATAAATAAGAAACAATCCCTTGTCTTTCAAGCAAACCCCTCTCTCTCTCTCTCTCTCTCTCTCCTCCCAATGCAAGAAGAAAGGCCAGTAAACTTAAGGGTTCTCTCTGGATTTTCAGTGTTTTTTCTTATTGGCAGAAATTTGGGACCTTTATATATAGATAGATACTGTATATATATAATGATCATGAAATCATGCATAACATTGTTCAACTCCAAGTGATCTGAATCATCTTTTACTCTCTCTTTCTCTCTCTAAAAAAGAAAAAAATTATCATTTGAGTTTTTGGGATCAATGAGAACGAAGTTGTTTAGCACAGTTGTGTTACTTCTGCAAATTGTTGCTTGGGTTCCTGCAACTAGTAGGCTTTTGATTACAAACCATGATTCTTCTTCCCTGATATCAGGTACCTACTGTATGTTCTTTCATCACCATTTTGACTTGTTAAGAAAAACTGCTGTAGTAACAATAACGGTATCAAGAACTACGATCAAATCTACATTTCAGGAAAAAAATTTGGCACTCCCACTGAGAGCATAGTTTTAATGCTCTGATCGTAAAGAGGAGTGCCAAAATCAGTTTCCAACATTCCGCTCGTCCCAATCAAACCTAATCACCCTTAACTAGAACTCTTCTGTGTTCAGGTACTGGTGGAAGTCCAGAGAGTTCACAAGCTCCCTACAGTTCAATAGAGGTATAAAACTCTCTCTCTGTCTCTATCTCTCTACCTATAAATCTATCTCTATCTTTCTCTTATTTGAATATTAACATCCAATAATAAACATTTCTGCAGGATTTACAGAAGCTATCAGAAGCAAAAAGCTACAGAAACGAACTGGGTTCAAGACCCCCGAATTGCAACCACAAATGTGATGGTTGCAACCCTTGTGGCCACTACCCACAATAAGCGGCGGCCACTTGGGAATACAGTATGCAAATTATGAGCCAGTTAGTTGGAAATGCAAGTGTGGGGCAACATTCTACAGCCCGTAACTATTTTTGTTATCCTAAAGTCTAGATAGTTAAAAGTTTAAAACTAAGCTTAAGTTCAGCAAATGCTTTTTTACTCTGTTTTCTATCTTGAGTGAAGTCTAGAGTGCATTTAGCTCTGTACAAATTAGGCATTCAATTTGAGATCTGAGTCAAATCAATGTAGAAGTATATATTAATCATCTGTACTAAATCAATATTCGAGTTTTCTCAAGGTTATGAGCAAAAAAATTACATCAATCTTATCATGTCAATTCTATTCTATGAGACGTGTAAGTCATCAAATCAGAGGACTCACATTTCCTCCTCTCCTCCTCTACCTTACCTTGCTGTCTTAGTTAGATTTGATTTGAGTTTCACCCACCAGATATCCCTTGTCGCTTATGCTGATATGAAAGATTCAGCCAAGACTTCATGATGTCATAAGTCGTAAAACCAATGGCAACAGACGGAACAACTTTGATGTAATTAATACTCAAACCAGCAAACAGCTGCCTCCATCCTTGACTTTGAACAATCCCCTTAAGACCTTCAATGGTATTTTTATACCTTGCTCCACCTTGATGCAAATTTTCAACCTGCAGTCAACATTTAGCTAAAAAGTCAGTTATCGAGTCATACGCACACAGGTAGGCTCTTTTTCATAGTACATTTTTGTTAAGGGATGTTCATCCAAAGAAAGTGATAGTTGGTTAATTAGCACGAAAAATCACACACGAAAATGAAAGGAAAAGGAGGGGAAAAAAAAAACATGCATCTGATTCACCCAAATTGATCATATGAGCCAGAATCCATATGAAATAGCAAGCAGTAAATCGTAAATGACAGATCTAATTGTTCAATCATGCGGAAAAAAAAAACTAATTACACGCACTGCCCCAGTTGTAGTTTGCATAAATAGCTGTGTGAAACTCTCTTTGTCATCGTACCAGTTCAACTCAAGATTAAATGTTGTAAGCTAAAGGTTTGAGAATAGAGCACAAGGCCATATTTTGCTGAAAGCAAGGGATTGGAACAGCCAAATGAGCGCAAAGATGACAAGTATGATGCTCATAGAGACATGGATGGCACTTCGCACAATCATTCTCATGTCAATTCAACACGACTAAATACAATCAGCTTGGCATATCCAAAGACCTTGTATTGAAGGAAACTGATTAAGGCACAGACACGGATCATTTCACATGACTAATCCCATCACGTCTCCTAGAAATCAATGTGGAAACTATCAACTCATTGAGAATCTCCTTCAAAATTTGTGCTACCCCCTCAATCCCAAATTGTTAGCTGATTTGCCCCATTCACTATTTATAAGGTCAAAGTTCATCAACTTTGACAATAATTATCCATGATACTCGTTATTTTCTTCGTTACATGTCTTTTCAATAAATCAAATTTTTTAAGTTTTCAACAATATGTAATTAAAAATAAAAAATGTGTCGAGGAGACTACCAAAACGAAAAAAAAAAAAAAAAAAGAGAGCAAACAGTTAGAGACAAAGGGAGTGGTTTGCCACATAGCTTGATATATCAAATTATCAACTACACAGCCATTACTGCAAAATGTTTATGTTAACTTATTGACAGGCTCTGGGAGTAATTGAAGCCCCAGACTCAATCCTATGCAATGTGTTATTGATCCCTAGTGAACATGCAGGATTGAGTAATTTTTTAAAAAGAAATTAAAAAAAAAAAAAATTCCAACAAAAAAATTGATCCAAAGATGCTGAGCAACCCAACCAATGAAATATATAATGGACCATTAAGCATCCAGATATAAGTACATTATGAAATATGTAGCTAGGATTCCTAGTCCACTGAAAAAAATCCTAAATAGATGATAAAAAAATAGAGGATTGCATTTTACCTAAAAATAAATATAAAATGAAATGAGAGGTAAAAGGGGGGGCAAAACGAGGACACTGAGAAATTTACCTGCATTTGTCGTCTAACAACATCCAATGGGTATGTGAAGGTTTGTCCAAATAAGCCAGCTAAAGCTCCACAAGAAAGCCTTAATACAATGGATTTTTGATGCTCATCAGGAACTCTTCTTTTGAGCTCCTCGTATATATAGAACTTCAAACCAGCGTATGGAAGGATTCCAACAAGTGTTGGTCCTGCTCAAACAGTATGTCACATGGCATATACAGTACTTACAAGAGTAACAGCTATGTAATTATGTGCAAAAAAGATAGCATGGCATGGGTGAAAACAAACCTTCCTAACTTCTTATTAACTTCTTTTTTTTTTTGAGACATAACTTCTTATTAACTAAACACTGACCTAAACAGCCATAAAATTTATGCTTTAAGGTATGACTGTGAGAGTGTGTGACTGAGAATTTTCATATGCATAGGAAAATCCAATGAACACGTGACAATAAGAGCAACAATCACAGTGAACCCTCTAGAATGCAAGCACTGAAAATGATTTAGTTCCCCTAAGTAAGTACTTACCCACGCCACGATACAAGGAGCGCACACCGCCTTCATTGTAAACACGCTTAAATACATCTTTTACTCCACTATACGATGGAGAAGAGTTGCTGCAGTTCAAACTGCTCCTGAAAGTTGACCGTTTGTCCACTACCTTAGACCAGATAAATGATGACAAAAGCCATGAAAATACACATTACCAATCAACTACAAACTCAAATTCCAGTAATGAAACAATAAGAATGCCATGACCCTTAATAAATGTAGGATAGGCACCTGATAAGCAAGCTTTGTTCTCGCCAAGTCCAAGGGGTATGTGCATAAAACTGCAGTACCACCAGCTGCTGAGCCGGCTATAAGATCTACAACAGGTCCTGTCCCCAGGGAAGTACAATTATCATACAGCCAAAACCGGTACCTCTCATACGCCATGTAATGCAAAGCTGCATAAGGAACAATCCGGAGGACACTTGCACCATTCCCTCTAATAAGCAATTGAGTAGTTTAATACAAATTAACGATTTGCACCAACCAAACATAACAATGAAAACAGAAGACAAATTATATAAAAAACCAATAAATCAAAGCCTTACTTGTACAACCCTTGTATCCCTTCATGATTTAGCACCTTCTTCAGTGACCTGTAGACCCCAAGAGAATGAAATCCATCCGTTCGTGTCTACAAATGTGTTAAAAATCTCATATAAGCACTACAATTAGTAAATAGTTCCTCTAATCATTGCCCCCCTTATTTCAAGTTCATACTCATTCAATTTATCAAATTTTTATCAACTCCAAACAACTAAAATCCTTTACAAGTGCCTAATTTCAACAAATCAACAACCCCATAATACTCTTCTACAAGTGCCATTGCTCAAGATTATGTAATATGTAATCTTCAACAACACAAATTACTACTTCCATCCCATTTTACTAGCACCAATTTTCTTTTCGGTGTTCCAAATTATCTAACTCATTTCTTATTATGAATTATTTCTCTCTAATTTGTCTCTTGATATGGGTCCTAAACAGGAACGGAAGGATTAAAGCAAGTATAACACCAAATAATATCCCAAAAACAATTCAAATTAAAGCATTCACCCCATCATTTCAAAAGTTTATCAATCAACTAAAAGACACAACACAATTAGCAACAAAACCAACAATTAAACCCATCAAACCAATTTAACAATCTTTACTACAACCCCAATAAATTTAACAACATCAAAATTAAAAATTCGAAAAAAAAAAACCTGAAAAAGAATCTTAATTCTTTCAAGGGGGGCAACAGCGGTCTTAGCAAAAGCACCAGCAGCACCACCAGCAATCAATTCTCTAACATAAACAGGCAAAGAATCGACAAATGTAGGATCATCATCAACAATTAAGCCCGCAACATCCGATGAAGATGACAACGTTGTACTATCCGAAGAACCCATCTCGAAATTTGAGGAAACAATTAATTGAACTGGGGATTACCCGCCGGAAGAGGGGAATTGGGTGTTCTTCCGGGGTGATTTGATTGATCTGAATCAACCGCATTAAAAGGGGTATTTTAATGAATATTCAGAAAAATTGGAAAATAAATTTTTCATTGTACACGTTTTTTCCTCTTTTCCTTCTACTGTGGAAAGATACAGTGGAAGGAGGAAACTTCCCTACGCTTTTTTTTTTTGGTCTTCCTTTTTTTGGCGCTTTCGTATTCTACTGTACTTTTATGATTAGCGTATTAACAACCTTTTGAGAAATTCTTACATGCACTCGGATTTATATAGAGCTGAGGCCGTATCATGTGTGGTATTAATGCGATGCTTATTGCTCATTTGAAGATTCTCATTTGAAGATTTGGAAATAAGCAAATTATATCAAAATCAAATGACCAAAAGAAATCAATGAATCAAGTTTGAAAAGGAAAAAATGACTTGTTGAGTTAACAACTCTAAAAAGTAGTTTATTAAATATTGATTTACTATATTTTTGTTCAATTATTATTGTTGCATATATGAATCTTGTGTCATTTGTGGGCCTTGTGCTTGTGAGTTGTGACTGGTACTAGTGCCATGAGCCAATTTGAACTAACAGTAATACTAACGTTATTTAACTTGCTTTAATTAAATTAAATTCAAACTCGAATTTGAACTCACCTCAACCTTAATGATCTTTCTCAAGTTAGGTGTAAGAGAAATCAACTTCAAGCTGAGTTTCGATAAAGCATGTTCCAACGATAAGTCACCAAAATATTAATGTTGTTAATAGAATATATTAAATCGTGGAATAGTAATGTATAAATTCTCCTATACTTTTCAATTGAAAACTATGGTCACGATGTAACATATACGAAGTATGGTGTGCAACAATACTAACAATCCCATAAATATATGTATTACATCTTTTGAGATACCCTAAACTTTGAAGTCGAATATCGTTCAATAAGTCAGACTTATTTTACTTTTGTTGCACATAATTGTGGGCAGAGGTTGTATATAATGAGCTTTAGTTTTAAGCTCAAGCTTAAGCTATGCTCATTAACAATCTGATCGAGCTCAAATCAAACTCGGCCGATTTGATTATGAATTGTTCATGAGTAAATACGCTAGTGTCCAACCTTAGGGTATGTTTCAGATTATTTGATCTTAAATAAATTTGTTTGGATTTATTAGACCTTAATTTTAATTGTAAATCGAACTTTAGTAGCCTTACTTTCGATTTATATATCCTGGTTTATCTTATTTGAACTTAAATTTTTTGAAATTAATAAAAATAAGGTTAATATAACAAAGCTTTACATATTTTTTTTTTTTATGTTTAGAGAGCCACAAGGGCGGGGGGTGAGAATCGATCCCATAATTTTATAGAACCGTAAGGGAAGTTCTAACCACTTGAGCTATCCCTCACTCTCACAAAGCTTTACTTGTTAGTAGTAAGTATTTTATCAATCTTTCCATTAACCATGAGTTTTTATACATTAGATAGTTATAAGTTTATTTATTTATTATTATTTTCTCTCCCGTTAAACAAGCATAATACTCGGTACAATTTAGAATTTTCATACTTTTACTTACTTAATAATTTAACATGACTCAAATTAAAAAACAAATTCGACCTGACTCAACTTTGCTAAACCCGAACTAAACACCTAAATTGACACCCTCTAACCGTTACAAACTTGACGACTCTCAAATCGGACATGCCCATTGCCCAACATTGTTTTTCCTCAATATGGCTTCACTTTCGATTTTATAAAGCCCAAATCAACCCCGACATTCAGCTCTTCCTCTCTTTCTCTGATCTTGCTCCGTTGTTAGCTCTTCCTCACTGTAGTTCCAGATCTCCAATTCCACCCAGAAAATGGCGTCATTCTCTGTTTATCGAGTGAGTTTTCTCTCTCCTTCTCTAGATCCACTACTAACTTTTCTTTTATATCATTTGTTGCTCAATTTCTATTGCAATTTCATTACATTTCGATTTGATCTAATATTGCGCTACCCAAAACAATTATACTTAATTGATCCATTTTTGTTTAATCAATACAAAAACGCCTAATTTGATCTGATTTCGTGTTTCTGTGTTTTAATCGAGTGTAATTAACATTGATTAGGGTTTGATTTAACATTCATCGTAGCTAAATCAATCATAATTCACAATTTTAATTGATGAATAATGCTTGCATTGTGGTACTGAATCGTTGCATACGTAGAAGTTGATAAAAAGTTGTATAAGTTGTGATTGATCATGAGTTGATGTTATTTGGTTATGATTTGATTGTGTAGGACTCATGCCCATTAGTGAAGAACATACTGCTTCTCGATTCGGAAGGGAAGAGGGTAGCTGTTAAGTATTATTCGGATGAATGGTCTACAAATGCGGCGAAATTGGCCTATGAGAAATCCGTGTTTACTAAAACTCAGAAGACTAATGCTAGGACAGAAGGTAGCCACCTATCATTATATGATTAAAATTTTGTGACATAGATTATTTAGTGTCCAATCTTGATCTGTTTATTTCTCAAACATTATTTTGATGGTGTCGAGTTTGACAGCTCATAAGTTATGTTTGGTTTGTATGATTTTGTTTGTGAACATGTATGATCTGCAGTGTAGTTTTGTTTTAAAGATTCTGCAGCTCAATATATTATTGAAATTTAATATGGGGAATTTAAATTATGTTCAAGGTTGTATAATCTTCTAGCCTTCTAGATAATGATGATAGAATGTAAACAGGTTGTGTAATCAGATCTCGAGCCAGGGCCTTGGTGCATATTATAGGCGGTTAATATTATGCATTAAGACTAGAGTCAAAGCATCTAGGAAATTTAACTGTTTTGCTAGACTGTGGATTTGGAATGTGCTACAACGTGGTAGCGATTTCCTCATGAATGTGTTTGCACGTTTGGCAAATACGGCCTTACTTCACCAATAAGACATACATAGTTTATCTTAATCTAAATTAAGTAATGTTTAAAGTGTCTTTGGGAATTTACTAGTTGATGATGGCTGAGGATTTATTGTAAATTGGGGTTTATTGGAACCACTTGTTGCTAGGTTTTTAATTTGAAGCTTGTATTCTTTGTATCAGGGCTACAATGAACGTCAGTTTTCAAGTTTTTAAAAATTACAAAAGTTGTTGGGTCTCCATGTAACTCGTAGAAGCTATGTGACATTGTGTTTGTTGACTACCTAGGAGGTGCCAAAATATACTGAAAATTTTACCAGTTAATAGATTAAAGTTTTGGCTTGGATTATTACTGATAAATATTTGGGGCATCAGACAAGGTCAGAGATTGGTTAATTTGTCCTCTGTGGGAACTCCGTATGATCTGTGGAGTCTTAGCTTTGAGTAATTTTTTTGGTTTCCAACTTTTGATCTTCTCTGATGGGAACAAAAGCCTTTAGATTGATTTTTTTTTTTTTTTTTTTTTTTTTTACTTCAAATTGATAAAAGAGATAAGCCAAGTTCCTGAAAACTCCTGTCCTTCCCAAGCAAATAGTCACTTTCCCACTGATACAGGCGGTTAACATCTATTTATCACTGACACTTAGGCTTGTGGAATCAAGACAGTGTAGAACTTAGGTATCTATTGTGATGTGTGAAAATTAACCTATTTGAACAAAGGGTGATAATATTGGACAAATAAATTAAGAAAGGACAATTATTTTGTGTTGGAAGGAGTATATCTCTGGTATATGTAGCAACCCATGTGGGTATGTCTGGAAAAAGTAAAACTTGTTAGTTCGATGGCTGTTAAATAATATTACGATTTTTCCTTGGAACTATTATAATCTTGATCTATCATTATCTTATATGGTCACTGATATATCATGATTGTCCAGCTGAAATAACTATGTTTGACAACAACATTGTCATCTATAAGTTCATCCAGGACCTTCACTTCTTTGTAACTGGAGGTGATGACGAAAATGAACTCATTCTGGATGCTGTGCTTCAGGGTTTCTTTGATGCTGTTACTCTTTTACTGAGGTAGCTTTTTAAGAGCTAATAGATTTATTATCTATGTATTTTTTTTTTATTGATATTAAACTTATGCTTGTTGGCCATTTATATATGGTGCTGTTTATGTCCAGGAACAAGGTTGACAAAAGTGAAGCCCTTGAGAATTTGGATCTTATACTCCTATGCCTCGATGAGATTGTTGACAGAGGGTAATATAATGTCCAAGCACTTGATTATCATGTGATTTTTGACTAATTAATAACTGCTTTTGTTTTTTTGGATCTCATTTTGATATGTCTCTTTTCTTTCTGGTAATATTATTCTTGTGCTACCAAATTTCCTACCAATATTTCTTCTATAATATAACAAAATATCTTAGATATATGAATATTCATGTTGATGTTGAAGGAATTAACCTATACTAGCTGTCATCTTCACTTGCTAAGTTGATATGGACATATGGTTCTCTTGTAGTAGCTGCCCCAAAATGGTTAATAAACAGTACATTCTTAATGGCTGGTGCATTAGTTTTGCTTGAAGTGCTCTGATTGAAGCACCAGCAGCTTAAAAGGAGTAGAAAACTAGGGATTATTTTTGTATGCATGACAATGATGCGGCATGTACAGATTTTCTCAATTTCTGGTACATGGTTATCCCTATTTCTGTAGTTGCTCATCTTGCTATATGGCTCTATATTTTCTCCATAACAATTCGGATTTTTTGGAACTCTTTGTCGTATTGACATAATGACATGTTTTTGGGAAGTTGTTACAAATTTTAGGAATCACCAGGTGCAATAATAATCTGTTGCACAGAATCATTTTCATTTTCTCGTGTCAGAATAGTAATAGCTTGATCAACTATTGATAGATACGTATTATCAGGTAAGCACAGGTTTGTTGTATCTTCTTAGGTCTTGTTAGTTAGATGTAACTAGCCATGGTAATTCAAAATTTTATGAAAGAAGAGGGTTCACCAAAGGCTATGGAGCTTCTAGTTCTTTTTTGTATTTCTCATGTATCTCCATGCAAATTAGTAGGGGGTATGCCCTTTTACAATATGTATAATGTATATTATCATAGATATCTAGGGTGCAATCCTAAGCCCCAAGCCTATTTTCTAGTTTTGCCATTACCGTTGCTTAGGTTTTGATGTAGGGGTAGGCCAGGCTTGTGGGCCTGTGGCCAAACAAAATGCTTTCATGGCATACTAAGATCCCATGTTAGTAAGTCTGCATGTCTTTGGAGCTGCCTTAGATGCTTTCTTATAAAATTGACATTAAACTTTATTATAAAAATATTATAGTTTTTTTTTTTTTATCATGCTTGTTGTGGTTCTCTCGGGCTCAATCTTAGATTTCCTAATGCAGGATGATTCTTGAGACTGATGGTAATGTCATTGCTAATAAAG